ACATTCCTGGCTCCGAATACGTCAGCATCCCTGCAGACAGCATTAGCAGCTGCTGCACATCTAGCAGAAAGGCAATTTTTAGATGAGCAGCAAACATGGAACAATGCAAAGTCTCTGATGTACCGAGCAGGAACTCGGAGACCAACAATTTCCAGAAGAGAAGGGCAGAATTTCAGGACAAAGTAAACTTGAGTAAAAAATAGGACATCGAGGCGACGTCTCCTAGTACGTAAAGCATGCAATTTTATCTCCTCCAGAGCAAGAGAATAGCTGTAATGAACTTGAGGATAGAAACGATTAAAACAAAGGGCCGCAAACCTCTGCTGGATGAATCCAATAATAATAAGGATTTAAATGTCAAAATATAACTTTACCTGTTGTTCCCTCTGGGTATGAAATTTAACGCTAGTTCTCAGAGACAACATGGATTCATGACGTCTTGGACAGAATGCTGAGGAGAATCTTTGGACATAAGAGGATGGAAGTAGGGGCAGGCTGTAGCGTAGTTGGTTGAGGCACTATGATATAGGCCAAGGTTTCGAGTCCCCATGATGTGGATTTTTTCAATTCACCTAAACCTTCCATCCTCACTATGGCCCTGGGTTCGACACAGTCTCTAACAGAAATGAATACCAGGAATCCTCCTGAGGTTAAAGGGCGGCTGGGGCGTAAGTCTTACAAACTCACCATTATCAGCAAGCCGATTGTGTAGAGAAAATGTGGAAGCCTCGACGTCTCATAACTCTCTGGATCTTTACAAGCACTTAGAGGGATAGTTTTACATTAAAAAGGGAGGAAGCAAAAGGAGGTTGTAGAAAATTATATGAGGAATTTCATAAATTGTACTATCACCCAATATGACTAATATGATGGGAGAGACGAGATGGAAAATGCATATAACATTTGTGTGGGAGAATAAGAATATATATAAAATGAAAATCTCCTTCCTGAAGAGAGAAACCACTTGGAAAACCTGGAGATAGATGGGAAAATAATATTAGAATTGGTCGTAAAGAAAGAGGATGCGAGGATCTAGACTGAATTTAACTGGATGAAAATATAGAAAAGTGGCGGACAATTGTGAACACGGTGATGGACATTTGAATTTCATAAATCACACTAACATAATATTAATAGCAATGAATTTACAGATATTTCTGAGGAACGTGTTGCAGTTTTCATCTTGAAGATGGAGATAACGTTTTCGCCCTCAACAAAATTATACTTCTAGAATCTGAGGCAGTAATTGTAAGATGTCCGGGTCATCCGTTCCGGAGATATCATGCATAGAGAGGGGTAGACAGACAGACATCGCTAACCGGACGCCCGTATTTGAACGTCTCGTTGAGAACGTGCCACAAGTGCGTTCCGTTTTGTTTCTGTCCTCTAGCGTATCAGTCCCTGCATCTGTTGGAGATTGTGTGACTATCTTCAGAACCTATATAACAGGGGAGACTGCATGGCAAAACTGGTGTTGATTTCTGTGTTCCGGAATATAGCGCCATGTAGTCTGGTAGAAGTCACGTACTTCCTCGTATACACTAAAAATGTCGGCAAAAGTTTCCTCCAAAATATCAGTAAATATTTATTAGACCACACACCGTCGTATCTCAGAGGACTCTGTATCACACATAGATACCTACGTCTTCTTTGAGCAATTGTGTGTGTACGTTACGCAGTTCCAATTGACGTGGTACATGGCAGGTCTCTATTTTTTCAAATTGTGCCATTTGAAGGTAATACGTGGAACTATGTTCATTATATTAAGAAAAAAGGAGGGAACGAGATGAAGGTAGGAAACAGATAAAGAAAAGAAGAAAGAAACTGAAAAATGAAGATAGGAAAAAATAATTCTACCTTTGAATTTCAACGGTGCTTTCCACTAGGTTTATTGATCTACGTAATGCTACAGTTAGTATGCTAGAGGAACTGTGAATTTCACTAGTCATGCTTACAAGCAGCTACTTTGGGTTGATCACAGGGTGCAGACAACGCTCCAGAACACTGAGCGCCACTCCGACCATCATCCCAACTGCTAAGACGTAGAATATTGGAGTTATAACTCGAATGTCGATAGATACATGAGCATCATCTGCGCTTCTGAACACATCAATCAAGAATCTTTTATACGTTCTCTGCAAGAGTCCACTGCTTCTCAGGCGCTGAATCCTGTAACAAGCAGGTTATTACAGCGCTACCGTTTTTGGTACTGTTACTGTGGTTAGTTGCGGCGTGCGCCAGCTGAAGAGGCTGTTAGTCGCTCTCTGAAATTAAAAGACAACTTTTCATAGCGTACGAGAAGCGCTAGGAGAAAAATCTGTCATTGTCTGTTTTGGGACAGTATCCTATCACTCGTCACCCATGGCACAGGAAGACACAGGACAATCTCCAGATGTTGTTGTGGTGGAGGTTCAAACTGAATTCCTCTAGAATGCAAGTTATGCATTTTAGCTCTGCGCAAACCGTCCTAATCATTATCACAATAAATTCTGAGGTGTCATATTTACAGTTACAAGGAACTTGGTTTAGATCTCAAATTGTAATTGGCTGATCTTAATGAGAGTAGCTGTCCATTTCAGACTGCGTTGCCAACCTTAACTTAGCTTGATTAGTTACCTTTAAAATTTGTTGTTCACAAGAACGATAATTGAGGAGCTATTTTAAGCAAACAGCGGCTCCGGTCTAAAAAACCGAGGTAAACGGAGGTGGGGATCTCTTTGCTCTGACCACGTGACACACTCTATCCGCAAAAGTTCGCACTAACTTCGCTGACAAACGGCGGTCGCTCTGTCGGTATAGTTTGCTTGCGGACTACATGCCAAGGAATTTGTTTTTCGTTTTTGTGTTCATATGTATAATTGTTTCGTCCAATGGATTTTGTGTTTTTATGCATTTAGAACCTTTAACTTATAATAACGAGTTCTAACTGTCAAAGAGACTGGGTAAGCTCACGTGGACGACTATGTGAAGCCAACTCCTCACTTCTACTGGCTTCATCGGCGTCTGAATTCTTAAAATTAATGCTGTGAAACGCATACTCGTTGTCGCAAGAATGTATGTAAGTTACCATATGACTGTAAGAATGAAACTGCTGTGTCTCCTTATTCATTTTCAAAATATAAATCTGAATCTTGATTAACACAACTGATGATCATTACAAATAATATTAGGTTGTGACAGTATAAGGATTAACAAAGCGGTACTATTTAAATGTTTTCCATCAGATTTGATTTAGGGGCCTAGAATACTCTACGAGTATTTGGTCGGCCTATGTCTCACATTGGACAGCCATAATATCTGCTGTACAAGAAGCGGCATTCCGTTTGTAAAACATAATTATAGCACCTACGTGGCATAAAGTACAAGCTATGTCAGCTGGATAGCGCAGTCGGTATAGCGACTGGCTACAGGCTGAACGACTGAAGGGTCGGAGTTCGAGTCCCTGTAGGGTCAAGAATTTTGTCTTCACTATGTCGTCCAGACCGGCTCTGAGGTCCACCCAACCTCCTGTTCACAGGGCACCGGAGGCTCTTTCCGATGGAGTAAAGCGGCCGGGGCGTGAAACTGATAAATTTGGCTAATGTCGAAGTCAAGAGAATGTGGATCTATAAATCAGCTCCCCCAGAGAACTTCATGGGTTAGTGCTTAATTAGTTAAGCACAAGGAGAACTTTACTTCTTCTTTTACAACAATATTTGGAACACTTTCCTGGTGTTGGGCGTAACTAAAGAAAAACTACGCTAAGAAGGCGTGCCTCTGTGTGGTGTCCAGTATAATATTCTTGTTAATGAGCAACTGCCATGAATAAGGAGAAAATGTAAAGCTATCCCTGGAAGAGGCCGTGGAGGCCCGTAGGGTTGTGTGAGACGTCCATGTTCCCACATTTTCTCTAGACAATGGCTCATAGATGGCGGTTAGTTTGTCAGGCTTACGCGCCAGCCGCCCTTTAAACCTAGGAAGATTCCTGGTACTCATTTTTTTAGAGACTGAGTAGAACAAAAGGCCATGCTGCGGCTAGAAGGATTAGGTTCATTTAAAAATCCACCCCATCGAGACATGAATACGCGACCTTCCGGTTTGCAGCATAGTGCTTCAACGAACTACGCTACCGCGTGCCCCGTGTATAAGATTCAAAGGAAATGATAGACGAAGTATAAGAACACTTTTATATTTTGCGAACTTCAAATTTGGAACTCACATTTGATTGAAGACTTCCTTATAAGGACTGTTTACAGAGAGGGCTACTGCAATGGACCCGGGGAAGAAAGCATCTGGCACGACTGTGATGGTGCAGTTTGGAATATATCCCAGGTTCATCAATGCAAATGTGTGTGTTGCAAGAGCGTAATTCCGAATTCTACATAGGCGCTGAATTGCTTCTACCGCGTCTCCTGGCAGAGAATTTTCGTAAGGTGCCACAAATTTGTCGTATATCTCACTCATCAGAGGGTCTTTCGAGTTCTGGAATAAAATCACAGTAGATTAAAATGCAATACAAATTTGCAGCATTTCTGAATTTGGGATTTATTTGCGATTACTAAACCTAATATTTTTATTTTTGTAATTTCTAACGTGCCTTTATCCTCCACTGAATCTGGATTTCATTAGCTTCTTAAACTAACGCCACTAATTTAGCAAGAATAAAATCTCTCACTGAATTTTAAAGTACTTACTGTTACTAGAATAAGCGTAAGAGTTCCTCTAAAATAAACATTAACTTAATCTGTCAGAAAAATTTGTATGTACTTCGGTACTAAACTCATACCACTCTTGTTACGTGTTCGAGACCTAGCAATTCCAAAATTTGGATTAATTTATGGTTACCAAACCTTGAAACGCCATTCTTCTGCCATGTTTTTGTATTACGATTGTATTTTGTTTCTTTTCTTTAATCGTGCTCATTATATAATTAGCGTTTAGTCTGTTTAGTTAACAAGCAAATCAACAAGAATTGGAACTCCTATCACAGAATTTTGGTGTATTATTTTGATTTCTAAATATCGTCAAAAATAATATTTAGTAAGCAGCTCAGTTTGCTTCTATTACTCACATTAAAATATGAAGACTCTGCAGAGTTTCGCATCATTCCAAGGCGGTAGGATCCATCTTTTAGGAACTGTTCGAATGTTGTGAAGGGTAGCCAATCCTTGGGAACGGCCAGGTCAGAAATGAAAGCGCCGTTGTAACTCAAGTGTAGAGCAAGTGCTGTCAGTGATGACGTCATTATCAGCATCCTCAATGGCAAGGATTTGTATAAAACACTGCAACCTGATAAATAAGTTCATTACGAATATTTTCATCAACGCCTTAGTAAATAATTGCAAACCTGCATTAACTTCTCGGGCCAAGTTCATGATTTAGGTAATCTGGTGCACAGGCTCATGTAAGTTTTGAGGGCTTCATCCAATTTTCCCCTACTCACATGTACGCAAGGAATACTTACAGAAATTGGATGTGAAGGGATTAGAATGAAATGAGTGACGATATTCAGAGAGAGACTTATCTCACTTCAATTATTTTGAGAAAAAAAAACAGCGAGATTTATGACATTACATTGTCTGTATTCATTTCATTTATCAATGGCTTTGCACCCATTTGTAGCGCCTTGTTCCCCTCTTCAGTTTTGTAATCTTTCTTACACAGACGGTAGGAGTCTTTGGAAGAGTGATCAGCCCGTCGCAACGCCGCTTCCTACACACAACAACATTAATACAAAATAAACACAGACACTGACATCCATACGTTAAGTGGGATCGGAACCCACGATTCCAGCATTCAAGCGATTGAAGGCAGCTCATGCGTTAGTCCGAGCGGCCAGAGTGATTGGCTCTGTCTTGTCCGGTGCTGATACAATAAGTCAAACAGTGGCCGACCCACCAAATGGACTCAGTCTCAACCCACTCCAAGAAACTGCAAAAATTACTCTTCTCGCTGCCATATCAAGACAGAATTCTAGTGAAAGTCAAAGTCACATTGCGACTGATGGTCAGTCAGTCAGTAACTCTTGGTGTCGAGCCCCATTTGGGGCTCATGACCAGATATTATTACAGTTTGATAGTTACCGTCTTGATTCTGTGGGACGCCTTCTCTGACGAGAGGACGAGTCTGTCTTTTATATATGCTGCTGGTCCTTGCCAGCGCAGTCTTACTCAGGTCCGAGTCCCTTGGGACTCGCGACAATATTTTACATTCTCAGAATTGAGACTTCCATTTTCGTCGCCTCCTAAGACACACAGGGTCACGGTGGAGGTATTCGACCCGCGTCCACATGGGGGTGGCACCTGGCCCTCGTTATATAGCCTCGACACGGACCTCACAGAAAACACCTTTTCCAGCAGCTCTTATGTTTTTGCGTGTTTTCTTCTTATGGCCATTACCTAGCAACAGCAGTTATCTATAGAGCCATTACTTAGCAACGGCTATTCTATAGCTGTATACTTCGCTGTCTTTGCCTAACAACAGGTCTACATGCCTCAGTACTTTTCTAATGCAAAGTGGTGTTTTCTTCATTTGTTGCACTTCTCTGTTATTATTTAGGAGAAATATATTTACCCTTTAATTAAGGAAAATTTAAATCTGGAAGATGTTCACATGAAAGGAATACTCGAAAACCTACCGAACGTCAGCACAAAGTCAGGTCTTGAACGTGTTCATTGATCTTTCAATGTGAAATGCGCCTCAAACGGATGATAATGTAGGGCGAAAGGCCATAGGAGAAATTCAAAATGTCATTATNTCTACCCTGAAGATGGAGGCGATACGTTCCTCCGAAACGTCGGTTAACACCACTTATACACGGTGCCAAATCCCAGAAGACTGCTTTCTTCAAAATGTTATTGATCTATGTCTTGTTGTATTGAGTAGAGAAGCTAGTTAAGCGAAACTTGCACTTTTTTTTCCTCGGCACTACAGCCCCAGTGGGCCTAGGCCTACCTACATGAACTTCTCCGTTCACTTCGATTTTCCTAGATCTTACACCTTCGGTAGGAATCCTTGGGCGGGTGATCAACACGTCGCAAGGCCTCTACCTGTACATAAACACAGAAAAACGCACACACACAAACTAAACATCCATGCCCTGAGTGGGATTCAAACCAAAGATACCGGTCTCCAAGCGAGCGAAGACAGTACGTGACTTAGACCGCTCGGCTACCGTGACCGGCACTTGCAATTTCCACGCAAATATAATCTTCATGGCAACTGACTACTGACTCACTCAAACGCTTCTAGTCACATAATTTCATGAAGTTTGGGGTCGGTGTAACTGTCTAGACTTTCAGATAAATATTAACACTATTTTCTAATCAATTGTAATTACTATGTCCTGTGACAAATATTAATGTTTTGTTTATTTATTTTAACCAATAATATTAGCACACACAATAATTTTAAATTTACAATTCTCTTTGCTGTGCATATCCCATAACTTGTTGATGCTATTAATAACCTAACTTACACTATTACATATAGTATTTGCGAATAATATGCCTGGAATAAAGATAATCGTAGACACTTTTCCTTGTTTTAACAAAACCACTTGGAAATATGTACATTTTCAGTATAATAATTTACAAATGTTGCTATTGCAACAATAGACGCTTCAAGGAAAACCGATTCGGAGCCGGGATAGCACAGTCGGTATAGGGACTGGCTACGGGCTGAAAGACCGAGGGGTCGGATTTCGAGTCCCGGTAGGGAGAAGAATTTTCTCTTCTCCACGTCGTCCAGTGCCCACCCAGCCTCCTATCTAGTGGGTATCGGTGGCTCTATCCCCAAGGGTAAAGCGGCAGGAGCGTGAAGCTGACCAATCACCTCCAAGTAGTTCCGTGGTCAAGAAAATGTGGATCTGTACATCAGCTCCCCCATACGCCTTCATGGCGTAGCACTTCATGAGCTAAGCACCGGGACGTTACCATTTGCTTTTGCCGATTCTCATAACACGGATACGCGTAATAATATAGATTCTAAAGAACTGATGAAATTCAGTTAGGAAATTCCTCGCAGATCACGTTTAGGCTTTCATTCAAACGTTTAGACAGAACATGACTTTCCTTAAGGTGCCTCAAATTGACCCCTTTCCCTTTGTGCCTCTAACACGTACAAAATATTAGTTGGCTAATCCAAGGGGAAACCTCGATTTAGAAGAGATCGTAACACTTACCTTGGTAAAATTTATTTCGAGACCTCCTTCTCTTATTATTCTTCAAAATAATACGTAATCTGTATTGCAGATTTTTTTTTAATTTTAAGAGAATGCAGGATGAATGTCATTAATGATTTCAGGCACCAAATAAATCGAGATCAAAAGAGATGGAAATTCTGAATTGTGTATCTTGTTCTTAGCACGGAAAGCGTTAATATTACATGGATTGTATAAATGTAGGGCTTGAAGATATTGGCTGCTAGATTCATCTGTCTCAAGATGGGTATCATTGTTAGATTGCTGTGAACATGGTAACGAGAATTCGATTTCGATAGAAGGCGTCAAATATTTTGAATATCTCAACGACTATTGGTTTCTTTAACATAAAATATGTTTCATAGATTTTCTTGTATAACGCATGGTTGAACTAAGTAATTCAAAGTTACCTGGAAATCTATGTAAGTTTTGAGGTTTTCACGGCGATGAAAATTAAGAAAGTCGTCTTTTGGGTCGGCCAAAACGAAGAATACACGGTGCCCAACCCAGAAGACGACTTTCTTCATTACCTGGAAATCATTTGAATAAAATGGATTACTAAGGAAAGATAAACTAAAATGTCTGTACCTTGCTGGAGGAATATTGTAAAAATTAAAAATACTGAATTCATGATCCTCAAGTCTTCTTTGCTCACACATTCGTAATGAAGCCTCAGATGCTGTATTGATATTAGGAACATTATTAGCAAGGTGAACGTAACGAACACTGCAGTCCAAAGACGTACAGAAAACGACTGTAGAAGTGTGTTCATCGTCATCTCACTCGTGCTCGGTTTCCTAATTACTATGTAGGTCCTGAAATGGAAGAAAAAATTAAAATGCAGATCCTAAATTTGTTAGGCGACGTAACTAGTCAACTGTCTGGTTCCACACCTCAATAACGCCGACACCAGAGATAGGCACTCTACGTGATCCTAAAAGATTCTCCGTTCCAATCATCACCCACTCATATGACCTATTTTCCTTAAGATCGGTTTTAATATTATTAAATTATAATCTCTTGGATGTTCCAAATTTTCTTTTTTTAATAGATTTCCACTACGAAATTTTGCATTCATTGTTTCGCACTTCCGAGATACAGTTCCAATAATTCATCTAACGTTTCGTATTTCAGTAACATAATTTTTTCGCTGGGTCATTCTACTTATATTTAAATATTATTCTAAATAATTACTTTCCTCTGTGGTCTAGTTGTCAGAATTCCTGCCGACAGTTCCAGAACATCGGGTTCTATTCCCAGCGCTACCAGATTATCTGAGAAATAGTGGGTCTGGAACGGGGTCTGCTCAACCTCATGAGAATAACTGAGGAGCTGTTTCAAGGAAATAGCGGTTCCGATCTAGAAACTCGAAATTAGTGGCCGTCTGAATTCGCTGCGCTGACCACGCAACACCCTCTACCCGCTAAAGTTGGCACTAACTTCGCCGACATGCGGCGGTCGCTCAGTCGGAATAGTTCGCTTAAGGACTAAAACCACGGAGTTATTTTGTTTGTTTTGTTCTTAGTTTCCAAATACTTCCACTTTTTGTACCCCTATGAAACAACTGTTAAAAGTGTTATTTACATATCGTGATCTTCAGAGTTTGGAAAATGGACGGATGATAACATTTTTCGAAATGAACAGCGAAATTTTATTCCTCCCGTAATTTGAAAATTAACTCAATTATGGAAAGTTATTTCCGGTCGTCTTATATTGACGAAGCGTGACAAGAAACAAAATCAACTGTCGCTCTTGATCTGTAGAATTTGATGAATTTGTGGACGTTACATAAAATAGCCTGCCTACGTCAGATCTGAGATTCTCATTGCCGTGACGTTGAAGTGTACCTTCAGGGACATAACACCGTATAGCCTGGTCTTTCCAGAACTTCTACCAAGACACAGAACATCACATCCGAGAAAATGCATCATATATCAAATGTTATAAGTGCAGGCCGAGCTATAAAGGATTTATTTAACGTGTTTCTTACCTCGTGTCAGTTAACGGTAACGTGAAATCCACGGCAGATTGTCTCTCTGGGGTCATCACGAAAGGTATATTGGAGACCTCCGCTTCACCTTTTACCATCATGCCCATAACTCCATTCCAGGAACCATTTTTCTGTCTGGCACCGGGAAAATTGTCCACGGCCTTAGAATAATCCGATCTGCAAGTAACCGAACACCCCATTTTTATCATTATCACATAAACACGATAACGAGATTAAAATTTTCTCATACAACAACATGACATTTACTTGAAATTTATTTCTTTCTCCAAGATCTCCCACATTGCACCGAAGAAGCCTAGACTTTTCAGATATCCTTTATCTCTTGATCTCCACTGGAATAAAACAATACGATACAAGACTTACACATTAATAATAAGACAAATTGAAATACAACATAAAGTATTTTAATGTTTTAAATAATTAACAGTATAGATAATAATACAACAGATTTCATTGCTTATTTAACGACAATATCAGTCACTCAAAACCGCCTCTGTGGTCTAGTGTTCAGAGTTCCCGTCTACAGATCCGGATTTCCCGGGTGGTGATTCTCAGCACTAGCTGATTTTCTGAGAAGTAATGTATCGGGACCGGGGTCCACTCAGCCTCGTGAGGATAATTTAAGAGCTACTTGAATGAAAAAGTAAAGGTTCCAGTCTAGAAAACCGACATTAACGGCCGTGGGGATCCGTTGCGCTAACCACGCAACACCCTTTATCCGCTAAAGTTGGAAATAACTTCGCCGACAAGAAGCGGTTGCTCGGTCGGTATAGTTCGCTCGCCGACTCTAAAGCCACAGATTTTTTTTTGTTTGTTTGTTAGTCACTAAAAACTGATGCCGGAAGCAGCGTCATCAGCAGCGACTTGA